CCAAAGCTCTTTCCCTGTCATTCTTTCTTCCTAAACTATATCATATACTGTCTGTACCATGATAACTTCTTGATTCTCTCTTCCCAATGACCAGTTGGGGACTTTTTGCTTCCTGTCCCCACAACCGTGGACTCTGCAGGATTAGAGGTCTTGTTCTCCAAAGGGTACAGCAAGAATCACACTGGATTGTAAGCTAAGCCTTCTGCCCGTTGCACATTGGGCTCCTGGTGTCTAGAGAACAACAGGAATGAAGAGGCATCATCATCTTGACAGGGTTTACTGGCCCCGGTCATTCGGAGGAAGGAGGACAGCTGTTATGTATGGGGGCTGTACGAACGACTTGGGTGCCTCTTGTGACAGGCAAGGGCAACTAGAAAGGCCTGATAACCAGGGGCTCAGACCACTGACCACTTCTGGGAGAGGTTATTCCATCAGGTAAGCTACTGAGGCCGGGAGGTAGGAGGTCAGGGTGAAGGGAATCTAGAATGGACCAGATGAGTAGCAGCTGCAGCCCCAAGATCAACAACAGGGACACCTCCCTCCTCTAACTTTTCCTTCCAGAAGAGAGACCCACTGACATTTTGAAGGAGCCACTGGGAGCATATATGGCAAGTAGATCTAAAAGGTGTACATGGTGAGCTCTGAAAGACAAGGAAACATCTCTCATATCGAAGAAGGGATTTTCCCAGATCCCTTCTTCAAGGAAGGTTTTGCTGACACTTTGTTCTAACAGAATCTGTCAGTTCCTTCAGGGTCTGCCTCCGCTACAGAAAACTGCCTCACCTGCAGGCATGTCTTTCCTGGACAACCTACACCGAGTGACTGAACAAGACAGGGTTTAATGGTCCAGGCCTTTCTGCCTAACCCAGGGACACTGTGACCCAGGGACCCTGGGACAGGCACACTCACTCCAGAGCTCCCATAAGCGGGCCAAGGCTTTGAAAAAAACCTGCCTTGCAGTCCGACTTCTCTCTCTGCTCATTCCTGCCCCTTCTCCCATTCCTTTCACTGGATCGTTCCTAACAGGCATCTTGCACCCGCAGGCCTCCCCCTTCCCTCCTCCCGCCCGCTGCCTTGCACGACTTCTCTCTCTGCTCATTCCTGCCCCTTCTCCCATTCCTTTCACTGGATCGTTCCTAACAGGCATCTTGCACCCGCAGCACTCCC